TTGGAGTGGTTAAAATTTGTGCTGCAATCCCAAAGGCATGTGGTTCAAACCTGCCCGTTGGTCTGATGGAAAAGAATGGCCAATCTCCTCCCTTGTGATTAAATGCCTCTGAAAGCCCACCAGAAGGTCAGCTATGGGTCACAACAACAAGGTTGTATTAGAGCTCTGGTAGTGTAATCCATAAGAAGCTTGCTGATCCAAAGGCCACGGCCCTTGTTCTTACCAGTAACTTGAAGCCAATGCTCATTCTTTTAATAAGTACTTTGAACTGATTCCATACCAACTAACAACATAAGATGGTAGCACCTTTTCTCTGTCCATCACCAATCACCAAGCTGTGGATTTTCTAAAAAGCCTTACATCAAGATATAGTGAAATAAATTTCTTTATATGATTAATAAAAAAAAGTCTCATCTGACTTCATATTTCTCACCAATGTCAGAGGCCTCTCTCACTAATTTCTAACTTTAACTATCTCACTTGACATGTTTCTAACGCTGATTTGCTCAACTACACATTTTTGGAAAATATTAAAAATCAGCACAGGATGGCAGGTCATGGGCAGCTGGCTAAGCTTTGAGCCCTTAAGGCACCTTGTTGGCAGGCAAACACTAGTCGAAACTGACTATAATTTCCTAAAAGAAAACGTCAATCTATTCTAAGAGGAGTGCTCTCTTTGAAAGCTGTGTGCTTATAAACCATGCAGCCATACCAAATAAACTTCCCCAAAACAGAGAGGAATTCATTCTATTCAGTGGAAATACAGACAGCTGTGTCAATGACTGAGCCATTCAGAGAAACCAAGAAAAAAGTTAAAATGTGTGAAGCCAGAAAAGGACTGAACACTATAAGTAAGTGGAGTGGCTAGTAACCAGAATGAAACACATCATTTTCTCTATCCAAGCTGAACAGTAACAATCTTCTATAGAAAAAGGGAGACTGTGCTGTCACTCCAACGCAGGACGCCTTCAAGTGGCCTCAGAATGAAATCATACAGGAACATGGAGAGGAGGTCAGTAGTGCAGAAGTCACTTCCCTCGCCTGTAACCTACAGAACACACTATCTAGAGATCTCATAAGGACATTATTAAGTATCTAGTAGAGGGAAAGGGATTTTTATATTGTAAAACTATATATACATACACTTATGTCGTTATATAGCATCAAGTCAGAACCAACTCATAGCCAACCTTCCAGTGAGTTTTCAAGTGCAGACAACTGCAAAGGAAGAGACTGTTCATCTTTCTCCCATGGAGCGGCTACAGGTTTCAAACTGTGTGCCTTTGGGTCGGCAGTGCAACTTCTTACCGCTAAACTATCAGAGTTCGAGCCCTCTCATTCTTCATATATATGTAAGACTGTCTACATTATAACAAGAAATAATAGAAAAAAGTACTTCACACAGAAAAGATTTACTACTAAAGAGAAAGAGGAGGTAACAGGGTTTAGAAATGTGAGAAAGGTAAAGGATTATGAAATTCCTTTATCTTCTGTAAAATCTCAAAATAGGACCATGGGTCTCACCAATTCAGCAAAGCTTGCCTTCTAGAAATGCTGTTGTAGGGTGGCATGAAGGCACCGTGTGCGGGCTATGAAATGTCATCAGAATGTCATCAGAAGGAAAGACTACTAACTTCCTTTGCTAAAAGCTCCATTTTGGGAAAAGCAATTCAAAACATCAGAATTTTCCCAAGAGATTTGAATCTGTAGAAACATTATACTGCAAATTATGAATTAATAAAATATGGGTTAATAAGTCTCTCCTCTTCCTATCAGACTGTGTTGAGTACTTAAAGCATGGAAACACTGATAACAACCTTCTTAGATAGTATGACTCCACAAAAACTTATGCAATCTCCTCTGTTTAGCCTAAAACTTATTTTAAGAACTTATTATCACTTACATATGAGGAGATGTGCGGCGTTAGGATTGGTGGAAGATCTATCAACAATCTGCGTTATGCAGATAACCTCATGCACTTGCTGCAGAGGGTCAAGGACTGCAGCCTTCAGTATGGACTGAGGCTCAATGTCAAGAAGAAAAAGATTCTCACCACTGGACCAATTGGTAGCATTAGGATGGATGGCGAAGAGATTGAGATTGTTCACAGCTTCAGTTTGCTTGGCTCCACAGTCAACACTCTTGCCACCAGCAGCCAGGAAATAAAAAAAACGTATTAGAATGGGAAAGTCTGCTGTTAGGGACCTCTCTAAAGTACTCAAGAGCGATGGTGTCTCTTTGGAGACGAAGGTGCGCCTGATACAGGCTATGGTCTTTGCAATCACTTGTTATGCATCAGAGAGCTGGACAATGACTAGGGGGGACAGAAGGACAATTGACGCCTTTGAGCTGTGGTGCTGCAGAAGAGTATTGAATGTACCATGGACTGCCAAGAAAACAAACAGATTCATCCTAGAGAGGGTTAAACCAGGCTGCTCCTTGGAGGCAAGCATTCTGGGGCTTCGTCTGACATACTTTGGACATGTTGCAAGGAGAGACAGGTCTTTAGAGAGGGACATCATGCTGGGTAGAGTAGAGGGACAGCGCAGGAGGGGAAGATCCTCTATGAGATGGATTGATTCAGTGACTGGGGTAATCGGGATGGGTCTGTCGGAGGCAATGCGATTGGCACAGGATAGAGCAGGGTTTAGGGCTGTTGTACATAGGGCCGCTATGAGTCGCAAACAACTCAACGGTACATAACAACAACAACAACATTATCACTTAAATGATGGGAGAGTACTTTAGTATTCCATTTTTCCCCCTTCTCTATTTGCTCCAGAAAGAAACAGTACTACCACCTCTTAAGGGAAGCTTTCTTCAGCTTTTGAATTGTATGATAATCTAAATTTCTCTCTTCATCAATATTACTTTTATTTAAGTTGTAGAGAGTTTAGCAAAGTTGATTAGAACACTATCATCAAATACTTGATGTGCAAAGCTTGCAGATCATTCTTGCTTATTTTACACATGGGCCCAAGTCATCACAAACAATCTCTCCATTAGATACCAATCAACAGAAGCACAGATTTAAAGCTATCTTGAAATGGAATTTTTATAGCACAGCCATCCAGGCTACTAATACACAGGTAAGAAAAAAAAATGGGGGGGGGGAGCAGGTCAGGAAGATCTGAACAATTAGGAGAGGTCATTAAAGTCGACATTCCAATACAAACTATGTTATACTTAAAGTAAGACATAAATTGAGAATAAAAACAGAAGCAGTGGTGGCAAGCTGAGAGACCTCAAAATCAGGGCCACTGATTCCAAGTTCACAGCTCAGAAATGAAGTTTGTAGGCAAAGGAGCTAAGTGTGCTAACCATCTGAAAAGGACCAACTCTGCAAGCCTACACTCAGAAAACAGTGTCCTTAGGCACAGGCATCCTGCGACTCACCAGCGCATTTGGTTCTTGTCCTGAGAGCAGGCCCTGGGGACCCCGTGCCACCCTCGCCTGGCCGGGTGAGCAGCACACTGATCTCGTACTCGGTGTCAGGGTCCAGGTGGCCGATCTTGTAGCTTGTGGAGTCCACTGGCTGCCGGTCACTCCAGCTTCCGCTAGCCGTGCAATACTCCACCTCCCGGGCCACGATAGGCCCATCACCATTGATGGAGTTTGCATTGAGCTGGATCCACAAGTAGGTGGCACCCACAGAAGCCAGCTGTGGTGGGGCGATGGGAACAGGCGGCTCTGCAATATCAAACCAGAGTGACTTTTAGACATTTTTGCTTGAGTCTCAAAAGAACTAAACATATGCCAATTATTAAAATGGGTTAGATATTCAAATTTCAGGAGTGAGTTTATTAGAATGATTTTTTGAGTTTAACACAAAGATGCTTATTCAATTAGGCAGACTTCCATTTATGCTTGTATACATCTTTTCCCATTTTACATAGATATTAAGGGTTTGGGATTTTTGTTTTCTTTTGATTTGGTATTCTGTCACAAGAACTTGTACAAGAAAACTGTCTCAAGTGGGAGATTGTCAACATTGTTATTGAGAATGTCTTCAAAATCATCACAGGGACAAGTAATCGACATTATTAAATTATGTTTCCTTATACTTTTATTCCAGTGCTTCTATGGTTTTGAGAACATAAAGTTCTCACTGATCTCATAATATCTAGGGTGATATGGCTCCCAGGAAATGATTCCTAGTGGGCTCACTCAGCTGAAGAAAGATGCAGCAAAGAGAACCACAAAGCCTTCCCCTCCTGTTAAAGGGGAAGAGGAACGGGCAACTGAGGCAGCAACAGGGAGAGGTGCTCGGGAGTTCGGCCATACTACGCTCAGCAGGGCAAAGCTATAAAATCAGCAGCAAATACACTTTACAAACCAACAAAGTTTCCCTCATTGTTTCAAACTAAAACTGCTCTTTCTAGATGATTTTCTGAAAAGTGTTTGATATACACATTTGTTATAAACAGCATATAATTAAGAACAAGTTCAATGGCTGACTAGGTATCAAATAATATCCTTGTAAATGCCAACATGGAAGAAACTCTGGTGGCCTAGTGGTAAAAAGCTGTGCTGCAATCTCAAAAGCACGCAGTTTGAATCAGTTGTTCTGTGGGGAAAAGATGGGCAATCTCCTCTCATGTAATTAACTGCCTCTGAAACGCCAGTGGAAGGGTAGCTACCAGTCAGTTCCAACTTGACGGCATGTAACAACAATAAAAAATGTCAATGCACTATAAATGTCACACCACAAATGATATTAGTAATTAAGACCATTTTATGAAATATCATTAGGTTCTATCTTAATGAATAAGCAACTCGGATAAAAAGGTAAGACTGATGCAGCCATCCATCTATTCCTACTTATATATTTTCAGGACTATATCCACAGGTGGCTATATCTTCCTGTTGTACTGTTTTTAGCTACTCATTTAGTTTGCATTAATGCAGGGAAAGTGGAGCATGCCACCCTCCATTGCTCTCAACACAGGGCTGCATGGCACAACCTCCTCCCCCACCCCTCAAGTCAGAAACAGCAAGGTGATCACCATCATCACACCTCCCACTGAGTAGGCTCCCTGAGCCCTGGCAGCACCTGAGAAGATAGTTGTCCCCAGTCAATAAACTGAGGGCACAACAACAGCAGCCCTCTTTGTTGTGCCTGCACTTTTTTGTATCCTAAGGATAGTAAGTCATACTGAGTTGTATTTGGGGAATCACAGATTTAGTGGAAACTTAAGAAAACATTCTTCTTCTAATGCATCTACTAGATTTGTGCTGGCTTCTCACTTCTTTCAACAGTACTGACTAAACTCTCGATGCTTTAACATCAATTTAAATATTAGCCCAATCTTTGAACCAAGACATGGATTGGCCCTTCTATAGCACATCCTAAGGCATTAACATAGCCATTCAGAAAGTACTTGTAATTACCTCCAAGCTGCAAAGCCAGCAAGGGCTGCTGCCTTGCTATTCAAGATACAACTCAGGGCAAGGTCACAGAGCTGAGTGATTACACCAATTCATTTAAATTGTTACTAATATCCTACAATAAACGTGACTTCAATACCTTTTTTTTTGGTCTAGAGAATATTTTCTGTATTAATTCTTCATTAAGAAAAGTAGCAAATGAATCAGGAAGTAACAAAGATAAATATTCTACAGGGTTTTTGGGTCACAGAGAAGAGCAGCATAACAAACAGTAAGTCAGCATTTAAATTCTGGACTAATTTTTCCAAACTGAAGAAAGGAAAGAATATCTAAACCAAATGCTGTAGAGTAGATGCTGCCTCAGTGACCCATAGGGCAGAGTAGAATGAGCGCACAGAGGCTCCAAGGCTATAAAGCTTCATGGAAGCAGGCTGGCACATCCTTCCCAGCAAGTGACCGGTGGTTTAGAACTGCGGCCATTCTGCTTAGCAGCCAAGCACTTTTGCACTGCACTACCAGGACTCCAAATGGAAACTGGACTAGCTGCTATTGGAGTCATTTTTTACTCTTAACCCCCACTGCAGGAATGGCAGAGTAGAAATGTCTCAATTCCCCAGACTGTAATCTTTTCAAAAGTAGACTTTCTATTACACCTTTGTAAGGAGAGTAGCTGGTGAGTTCCACATTCTTGGCCTTTCAGCTAGCAGCCAGGTGCGGCTCCTTCCACACAGATTACACCCTGGAACTGACTACAGTAAGTGGCAGTCACACTTACAGAGGAGTGGGGAATCTGAACCATCAACCTTTGGTTTAACAACTGTGTGCTAAACTGTGAGTTCACCAGGGCTCTTTTTATATAGCAAACAATATATCTGGCACAGTGGAATAGTATATAATGTGTTGTGCTGTTAGCTTAAAGGTCATTGTTTTCAGTCCACCATCTGTTTGAAAGGAGAAAAATGGGAATCTCCTCTATAATAAAGATTTACAGTTGTGAAAACCCAATGAAGGGTCTGTAAGAACTGGTATATACCTCTACACCACAAGCACTCCCTTATATTATGTATATAAAATCTACATATACATTCCAGAGGAGACACACACACACACACACACACACACACACATATTTATTTATGTTTTTTCTTTTATTATATCTATGGTACCAAAGGGAGTTCTGGTGACCCAGTGTCAAGAAGCTGGGCTAAAATCCCAAAGGCACGCAGTTTAAGACCTCCAGCTGCTCCACAGGAGAAGGATGGGCAATCACCTCCTGTGCGATTAACTCCCTCTAAAAACACACCAGAGGGTCAGCTATGGGTCAATTCTGACTCAAAAGTACAGAACAACATCAATAGCAAGGTACCAAAAATATTGATATTTAAATATGGATAAAAATGATAGTTCAACAAGTGAATGAGTTGGCTTTCTTTTGATGGCTTGTACCAAATTACTGGGTGACCTTAAGAAAGCGATAAATTCCGTAGAATTTCATGCTTCATTTGTTCATTAACCCTCCAAATATTACATGGCATATATAAAAAGTATTAAATGATATATTTAGTGGCTTGAAAATGTCATTGTGCCTTTTAAAGCAATTTTCTCTAGATAACACATTATTAACCTAGTAGTACCCAACCCATTATCTCACTTGAAAGACTAAAATCTATAGGAAAAAATGAAAAGAAAGTGGAAATGAAGAAAAAGTACTAGATTGGAGCCCTATCTGCCTGCTAACAGCCACAGCTCTGGCAGGCTGCAGTAGGAAGGGGTCTGGGGTTCTGTCAGTGAGCCAAGTTCGGCTATGCTGTCCGAGGACAGACATCTAGTGTGAACAAATGGAAATGAGACCCACGTCCAGGCTCTGCAGTCATGTTTGTCCTCACAGACTAGACATTTCTGATTCACTGCTTGTCATTAGGTGCTGGTGAGCAAGTTCCAACTTTTAGTGACCTGTGTAGACAGCTCATTCACTCATAACCTTCACCAATGAACTTCACAGGGGAGATTTTTGGAGACGCTTCTAGATGTGAATAATACTGATCTTGAACGAAGGGTAAAGTCTCTACCACACGGACACCACTGAATCAGGAAGTACTACAGAGACTTTAAATGAGAAAAGGAAAAACAATTACAAAGAGTAAAACAAAAATAACGTAAGAAGAACTCAGCTGTGGGGACCCCAGGCTGCTGTGTTGGGCTCCAGGTGAAGTGGTGTCCACATTCCTCACAGAGACTGCTCACTTCCCAGCAGTGTCAGGAGGGAAGTGTTTAGATTTCTTAAAGAAATTACACCTTAATGTAAATATTAGCTAGACAGGGCAGTTAAAGTTTAACGTCAACTCAAAACAAACGAGAAGCTGTTGAGGCAAAATAAATTATTCAAATAGATATTTTGATAAGAGCTTCCTCACAGTGAGTATCACTCATTGTTTCAACTAATGATTCTTGAGGTAGATTCACTGCAAACCATTTTCTCTCATAAGCCAAGTGCAATTAACATTCACAGTAAAGTTAATGCTCAGCTATCACAAGGGACTTGTTTGTGCCAATGACCTATAGATATTTACAACAAAGACTGTTCCCAGCATTTGGTTTGATGTGGGCCTGGCAGTGGAGAGAAGTGGGGGCAGCAGGCATCTATATTCCTTAAAACATGGCGAGGCAGTTCTTTAAGCATTCACAAATGTAGAACATGTCCAGGATGAAGAATGAGAAATATCCCGGTCCTACCCTCCTGCCCTTATGCTCTAGCAGGTTGCTGTGTACTGTTGAGTTGGAACCGAACCATAGCTGACCCTGTGGCAGGTTTTCAGAGTCAGTTAACTGAATAGGAGGAGACTGCCTATTCTTCTCTTTCAAAGCAGCTGGTAGATTTGAACCACTGCTCTCGTAGGTACTGAGAGCTGTTCCGCTCTCTGATCTAAACAGGGTACCTATATGTTCTTCATTAGATTCTTGTGGGAACTATAGAGTTGTGAGATTGAACCCAGGAAATCTTAACATTGCCAACACTGAGGAAATTGCTGACAGAAGCCTAATGACAGGCCATCCAGAACAGATCAATTTTCTATCACAAGTTTAAAAAATGGTAGGGGAAAATGGAAAAGCAGTAATCATTCTATCTTCCTGGGAAGAAGTAGCAATGGCATGCTACAGGTTGTCTAAAATATGTCTCGCGACACTTCTATAGTCAAATTATTCTGTCTAGTATGAAAAATTGCCATGGCAATGCAATACTTTAAACTCCTCAGCCCCCAAAACACAGGCATAAAATCATTTAAAGGGAACTTATTTCTCCTCTAGTTTTTGCCTCTTCCTCACTTTCTTTAACCTAATGACTCAATTTTTCAGTCATGCAAAATATAGTAATAGAAGTTAACTGGGACATTATAGATGTTAACATAATGTTATCAATATGGCTTGTATGATATGACTGAACATTTTTATACTGACACTGCTTTATTTTATTAACCACCCACTATCATAAACTCCCTGTCTGGTGGCATTTTAAGTGATTTTCTATCAGTAAAATATTTTTATTCCTTAACAAAATTTATAGGTTGTAATGTCTCTATATAGTTAGGAGAAGAACTTGCCAAGAGCACATTCATTTATTTGTACACAACTAAACTAATATAAGTAACATATGCTTTTTAAAAAATCCTATTTATGTGCACATTTGTACTTAAAATGCAATCCATCAGTGTAGTCAGTCACCAAACTGCTGTTCAGGCACAGACAAGATTAAGTTTGAGTTTTCATCACATAACCAACTAAAAACTGTCTACTACATCTATTTTCATAGATTGTTCTGAGTATAAAAACACATTAAATACCTTTAACTACCAGCTCTGCATAATTTGATAGGCCAACACCTCCTTCAGTGCGAATCATGCAGCGGTAGTTTCCAGCATCCCTTTTTGTAGTATTCACGACACTAAATGAAGCTATGAATCGTCGGGAACTTGTCACCTTGATTTCCTTTAGAGGAGCATCTCGTACATCAATGCCCTGTGTAAACGGGTGCAAGAACAAAAGAAACACTATTAGCTGCCATATCAAAGCATTAAGGCACCCAACATGCTATTTTCAGGTGGAACTTGGTTCAACTGTTTATTACCTACGTGACAATGTTCCACAAAACAGCTGGCAAAGAAGCAGAAATTTTGCCATGACCAACACTTTAAAGACTGAATCATGTAAAATTAAGTGCATACAAATGCAGTCTTGTTGGCTCTTCAAGATATCAATTATGTTATATTAGCACAATGAGGAAGAAAGGCATATATGGAAATATTCTTTATTTGGCTCTAAAATAATATCTGGTATTTTATACTACTTACTGCTATTTGTTGTGTTTTACTCAAAATTCCTTGGAAGCAAAAATAACTCACATTGCTAAATTATTCATATTATTGACTTCATTTTATTTATAAGCATAAGTGTAATTTATAAAAATAAGATTTAAAACTGTAGCATAATTATTAAAGGATAATCTACGGCAAGGTCCTGTCCTCACTAGGCCAGCTCAGGGCTTGAGTAAGGAGTTCAAGGTTATAAAATACTCTTCCCTGTATTTTGACAAATCTTCACAGAACTAGACACATAATGAATATTAATTGTTCTGAAATGTAACAAAAAGGAAGTATTTCTCCTACATTCTTTATTCCCAGAAGCACCAAAAGCAAATTTCACCAATAAGACAGTTTTGTCTTTCATTATCCCCTTAAATTAAGTAATTTTTTAAATTTATTGTACATATTTGACAATATATCCTATGATTTCTATAGTATAAACCTATAAAATAAGGTTAGATATATTAATCTTATAAATGTAAGCTCTGGAAGAACTGGCAAAAAACAAAGCCTCAGGAATTTACGGTATATGGACTGACATATTTAAACAAACAGACCTAGATGTGCTCACCAAGTTGTGCCAAGAAATCTGGAGAATTTGGTTAGCTGGCTACCTGGCCAACTGATTGGAAGAGATCTATATTTGTTCCCATTCCAAAAAAGGGTGATCCGACATAGTGTGGAAATTATTGAACAGCGTCATTGTTATCACATGCAAGCAAGATTCTGCTGAAGATTATCCAAAAACAAGTGGAGCAATATGCCAACAGAGAACTGTCTGAAGTGCAAGCTGGGTTTAGAAGAGGCCGTGGTACAAGGGATATTGTAGCTAATGTCAGATGGATCTTGGTTGAAAGCAGGGAGTATCAGAGGATTGACTCTGCAAAGGTATTTGACTGTGTAGATCACAACAAACTGTGGCTGACTCTGAGAACAATGGGAATCTCAGAACACTTGATTGTGCTTATGTGAATACTTGGACCAGGGGGCAGCTGTCAGAAAAGAGCAAGGAAACACTGCATGGTTCAAAACTGGGAAGGGTGTGTGCCAAGGATGTGTCCTATCTCCATATCTCTTCAATCTATATGCTGAGCAGTTTATCTAGGGAGCTCGGCTCTATGCGGAGAAATGTGGCATCAGGATTGGCGGCAGACTAATCAACAACCTGCATTATGCATATTACACAATCCTGCTTGCTGAAACGGAGGTGGACTTGAAGCACTTGCTGCAGAAGGTCAAAGACTGTAGCCTTCGATACGGATTGAGGCTTAATATCAAGAAAACAAAGATTCTCACCACTGGGCCGATAAGCAGCATTGTGATGGATGGTGAAGAGACTGAGATTACCAACAGCTTCATTTTGCTTAGCTATACATAAACACTCTTGGTACTAGCTGCCAAGAAATTAAAAGACAAATTGCATTAGGAAAGTCTGCTGTCAGAGAACTCTCTAAAGTACTGAAGAGCAACGATGCCAGTCTTGAGACTAAGGTGTGCCTGATACGGGCCATGGTCTTTGCAATCACTTGCCATGCATTAGAAAGTTGGAAGATGACTAGAGATGACAGAAGACAAACTTATGTCTTCGAGCTGTGGTGTTGGAGAAGAGTACTGAATTATACCACGGTCTGCTAGGAGAACAAACAAGTTCGTCCTGGAGAGGGTGAAGCCAGGCTGCTCCTTGAAGGCAAGGATTCTGAAGTTTTGTCTGACATACTCTGGACATGTGGCAAGGCGGGATCAGTCTTTGGAGGGGGATGCCAGGCTTGGGAGGGTTGGAGGGACAGCGCGGGAGAGGAAGACCTTTGATGAGGTCGATTGATCCAGCGATTGGGGTAATGGGGATTGGTGTGTCAGAGACAATAATATTGGCAAGGGATAGAGCAGGGTTTAGGGCTGTTATACATAGGGTTACGAGTCGTTGGCAACTCAAAGGCACATAACAAGAACAAAAACATCTTTAGAAGAAGCTATCTTTAGCACATTGCTTCTAAAGTATTGAGAACAGAAGAAGACCATGATGTCAAGTACAATGTCCACTGACCACACATGTCCATTTCTTCACTAGTAATAATTTTTGGTTCATCAACCACATCAGTTTATATTTTGTGAAAAGAAAAGTGGTCATTCTGCTTATGGGGCTTCAATGTAGAGGAAGTACAGATTTGAACACAAAATGATCAGCACTGATAAAGAAAAGCATCAGATGGTACAGAGACCAAAATGAAAATACAAGGAAGAGAATTTGGTCTGAGAACTGTATATAAGTGGGCAGTATCTAGGTAGACAAAGAGGACAGGAGGGAAAGGCACAATCTTATATCGGTAATCAGCTCATTGGCAGTGTGTTCTGGCAGACATGAACACAAGATACAGGTCGTTAGGCCAACTAGTCAATCATCAGATTAACATTTACTTCCATCAGCTGAAATTCCATTTCTTCATAGCCTTTCACGGTCCCCTCTGTGTGAGTGCTATCAGTCACCATTAAGTCAATTCCAACTCATGGTCATCTCAAGAGGAGATAAAGCACCTCAGTGGCAGGGCTGCTGTGGGGGGGTCAAAAGATGTGGAGGGGCAGAAAATAAGTATAAGGACTGCACCTTGAGTACGTGACAGGATTCACAGGAAGGAGAAGGGGTGTTCTATAGGAAATAGCTCCCAAGGAAGAAGAGACAGGGCTGTGCACGCCAGGCTTCCTTCTAAGGAATAAGACGACAGCTAGGAAGATTACCCTGGTGCACTTCCTTCCAAACAGGAGGAAAGGTCAGGACAGGAAAGGGGGAACGTCCCATTAACATTATCTCAGCACAATCTGTCAAATGGCCTTGTTAACTTCTAAAAAAGCCAGAATGTGTATGTAAACCCATAGATGTAAGCTATGTTTTGTTTTGGTTTTTTCCTTCCTAAATTTGATTTGACAGAGAATAGAAAAGATTAAAACCATGGCAAGAAATACGTTAGTACAATAATTTATTATAAGAGGTATCTATTATATTATCTATTATTACCTTTATTATCTATTAAAAGTTTTATTCTTTTAAATTTTAAACTTATTGATTCCTCACAACTATTCAAATTAGCAACTCCATACAACTCTCAAAAGGATTGGATTTTTCAAGAATTCCATGTACTCAGCCACACAGAGAGATTGATTCACCCTTTCCATGAAAAAATTTCAAGCAGCAATGACAAATTAAGTAACTAACTGGCAATGTTTAGCATGAAAGTTATATACAAGTCACTGCCAATCTAGGATATTCGAATACAAAGAGGCTCTTCAGAACAGAATAGACTTTTGCTTATAAGGACTCCAAAGCTATAAAATGTTATAGAAAGAGAAAGCCTTATCTTTCTCTCATGAAACAGCTGATGGGTTTAAAGCATCTACCTTTTACTTAATGGGCAAATACTTTAACCGATGGCCAAATAGGAAGAAGCTGTGCTGAAATCTCAAACACACATGGATTGAATCCACCAGCTGATCGATGGGAGAAAGATGGGCAATCTCCTCCTCTGCAATTTACTACCTCAGAAAACCACCTGGAGGGTCAGCTAGGGGTCAATTCTAACATGCTGGCACACAACAAAATGAATCATGCTACAAGATCTCCTTGGGATCCATTTAATAATTGTTGTTGTTGTTATGTGCCGTCGAGTTGTTCCGACTCATAGCGA